TAATTTTGACCCTAATTCAAAATCAGTTGACCCTCGAGTATCAATCCAACCTATCTTAGGGATTTTTTAGCCAACCCCTATCTTCAATTTAATTTTAGTATCAACCATGCTTATTATTTACCTCTTCTAACCTGATTTTTATTAATTTATGGTCTTTCTAAGGAGTAAAAGCGTCTCTACATCATAGAAGGTAAAATTATTAATTAATCTTTAACCTATTAACTATTAAGACAAGAAAATGAAGTAAGAGACTTTTATAAAAGCAATGTTTAAATATCTTAAATTATTATTGAACCAAATTAATTAGACATTATTTAGAAATTCTTTTTTGATTATATTTTTATTATATAGTTATATTATAATACAACAATATGTCTCTTTTTGAGCCATATAAGACAATGAATATCTTGAGAAGAAGAAAAATGATAATTCCTTTAGTAGAAGCAAATAACATTAAAAAATTTGAGATGGAAGAAGTCTTAGACTAAAGGTGATATTAAAATAGGTTGAAATATCTTATTCATTGGTACAAATATGATGCTAGTAAATACATAAAGAAGCCAATCAAAAATCTAATAAATACCATAAAGAAATTTGATGTTTTTCTATTGACAAGATCCATCAAATTTAAGATAAAGAATAAAAAATATTTATTATAAAGAAATAAGATCCAAAAAAAATTATATTCTACTTTCTATCTTTGTTTTTAGTTTTTGTGTATTTGTGGTACTAAGGAAATGAATAATCAATAGCGAATAAGTTCTACTTAAGAACTATTATTTTCTGGCTTATGAAATGAGATAATGCAATTATCATAATCTTTAAGATGACATAATAGAAATGAAGATCTTTAAGAATAACATATTATTTGTTGAATATATGGTAAGATACAATAAGTTTGATATCACAACCTTAAAAAAGACTTTCAATTTTTGGTAATTTTATTCGAAGTAGGAACAATTCTTGATGGCATTATAAATATTTTATTTGAAGGAAGTTATAAAGGTCTCAATAATAATTGAATAACAGGATGGTCTTTCTTCTTTGAAATGAAACATTGTTGATGGCTAAGAGGACCTATTAATTACCTTTAAAGAGAATATAGATTAAAATATGTGGCAAATATAATTTGTTGTATCTTGAATATGTAATCGCCGCTCCTCACGAAACTCATTCTTAAAAAAAGAGATCAATATCACAAATATATATATATATATATATATATATATATATATATATATTTATTCTAATAATTATTTAGATAATATGAGTAGGTAGAAGTAGATTAAAGTAATTAATTTCATAATATCTTATAGAGAAGCTTCCTAAAAACTCTATAGATGCAACATTGACTTTACATATGATTGTAGTTAATTAGTAGATTAGAAACTTGGCCAATAAATTAGCCACGTATTGTACATATTGATAGCTTATGATACAAGCTAACTATATAGTGTACATATAAAAAACTTGCCTTATAAATTAAGATATGTGTCTCACAACTTAGATAAGTATTAGAAATCTTATAAAATGTTGTTATGTTGATATATAGTAATACAAATATATGGTGAAAAATAAAAATATGAATGTTGATATAAAAGAACCTGATAGGAAGATGCAGTAAAAAAAATTATGATAAATAATAAAAAGATAATAAAAGGTTTAATCTTAATGTTATTTTTTTAAAGAAGAGACTTCTATTTGCTTTGTAGGGACATAAATACTTCAAATTAAAGTAATTGAGATAAGTAATTAATATAGACATGTTTAAAAGAAAGTTACTAATAGATTTAAGAAAAAATTACCTCAAATTATCAAATATTGATATCCAAAGAGGATCAATTATCAACCTAGATCGAAATTAGATCCTAAGATACAAAAGCACACACCTATGGCAATCCAAAGTTCTTTGGTAGATCGGAGAATGAAATTTGAGAAAAAACTTGTAAAAATATTTTTGGGCATTGGTTTTATGTCAATTGACTAAATATTCAAATTTTGAAAGATTTTAAAAATTAATGATGTTCTTAATTGGTTTAGATTTTGAAAATTAAAACTATATTTACACATTTGAAGGTTTCTTGAGTTTTGTGGTATGTGTATGGATAAATTTTCGGAAAAATATTGATATAGTAGTTATAAATTTGTGTACAAATTTTGAAGTAAATCAAATAATTAGATCAAAATGTGTGAAGGTTTTTGTAGATTGAGGTTACAAAAATTGGAGTTTGAGGTTTAGTGATTATTTTAAAGATCTTTAGAAATTTTTCAATTGAATTGAAGTGAATTTTTTTGTGTAGAAACTAGATATGATTTCCAATAGTTTTGGTAAATTTTGGAAGCAATTCAATGGTTCAAGAAGGAGATATTAGCACTAGAAGTTCAACATATAAATTGGAGTAGGAGGCCGGCCAACACTTGAGTGGAATTTAAGATTGGTCATCTAATTGGTAAATTCAATCTTCTTCAAATTTTGTATGCTTGTTTCTAACTTAGTTGTTGAAAGGTGTGTAAAATCTTAAAAAGATCTACAATATAATCAATAGATATTGAGGTTCTAAATTGCCTTACAATTAGGTTAATTTGATTTGGATTTGATATGGATTTAGAATTTGGTTTAGAATTTAGTTGAAATTTGACTTAGAATTTAATTAAGAACTACTAGGATTTTAATTAGGATTAAATTAATATTTGATTGGAGTTTATTTAAGATATATTTAAAATTTTATTCTAATACTTTCTTTGAATTTCTTCAGGATTTTTTCATGCTTCTTTCGTAATTTACTTAAGGTTTCTTTGAATTTGATTAAAACTTGATTAATATTGTTTAGAATTAAGTGGAGTTATTTAGAATTTTATTAAAATTAGAATCTTGTTGTTGCAATTTTTCTTCTACCTTCCACAATCAAGTACTTAGTGTATTTTCAAGCAAGGCTTTATGTAATATGACAACGTAGCTCTTAGTTAGGTAGTATATATGGAGGCAAGAATGAAGCCTTCTTTACTCTTGTCATGTCATTCTAATCCTTAGTCTTGTTTCAAGACTTTCTAGTCTTCTTGTCTTTGGTAATAGCTATCCTAAGTTAATATTATATCATCTTTAAGTATTTTTTTAGTCTTTTTAAGTGACACAAGAGTGTATTGATTTTTTAATTCTTTGAGATTCATATCTTTAATACTAATACTATATTTATCCTTATTATCTTATTTAATAAAATTTTTTTCTTTATTTTTTATTATAAAAATAAGTATATTTTAAAATTATTTAATTGGTTGATATTATTTTATTTTACTCTATTAATTTAATTTATTTAAAATTTTTAAAAATAGCAAGTTTAATTTTTAGAACACTTATATTAAAATTATTAAATTGATTTTTTTTTACATATTTATATTTTGTATCAATATTTTAAAATTTTATGCAATACTTTAAATCTCTTTGTTAAATATATACTTTAAAGATTCTTTAACATATAAATACTAATATATGTCCTTTTATATTCTTTAATAGATACCAGTGTCAACTTCAAAAGCATGTTAGTTCTAGTTTTTGTTTGCATTATTGTTGTGTACTCTACATTGCATTTTTATATTCAATTATACATGCAATGATTAACTAGAAAATATCATTTTACATTTATGTTAGAACACAAATATTTTGGCATTTGTTCTTCTTTATTTTGGTACTCTCTTTTAGTTATTGTAGTTTTCTGAGATCAAACTGATGACCTCAATGAAATATTTTGCTACTACCAATACTCTTGTCTTTTATTCATCTACACTCAAACGACCAACAAGTAATTCCAAAGGATTCAAAAATATCTAAGGGAAGTACTTAAATATCTAGATCCTTAAATAATTTTAAAATTTATATTAAAACATGTATATTTGTATTAAGAATCAAAATTTCATAGGCTGAAATTTATATTGTAAGTTTGTTTCCTTCAATTCTTATCTTTTTATATTTACACATCATGTTGATTCCCTTACCATAAATCAAAAACATATATTAAACAAACTATCAACAAAAGTGTTATATTGTTTATGTGTTGGAGTTTGTCATTATTAAAAAACTGACATAGGTACTACATATTGTTGTTTACAAAAACATAGCTTCAAACTTCAACATTATAATGTTATGACATGTTTATTGTGACAAACATATTGGCTGCCAAACCATGATATAAGAGATGGGTGACTGTAAAGATCTAAATTGTTTTTACTAAAGTTATTACTAATTTTGATACCAACTAGGTTGGACTTCTTCAAGATAGAGTTCATGAGCAATTTAAAAATTAAGTTTCATCCACAAAAATACAATTTTGAGAGTCATTTCGTTGGCATGAGGCCATGCAGGGTACTGCACGGGATACAAGTATAGTCCGAATATATCATTTGGCTATTTGGAATATTTCCCAGGCTGGGTCTTGTGGCTGAGAGCTACTGAGCTGGACGCATCGAGACAGGGAGGGAGCTGTACGCATCGAGACAGGAAGGGAGCTGTACGCATCGAGACAGGAAGGGAGCTGTACGCATCGAGACAGGGAGGGAGCTGAACGCCCTACACAGAGGAATCTCAGCAAAAGGGGTCCGAATTGTAAAAGTTCTCACCACTGAAAAGTAGGACTGCCCTATCCTAACTTGAGGCTCAAAGGGAAAAAGTTAACGTGAAGAGTTTTGACTTCCAATCTCCACCAACTTTTTCCGATGGCCTGAGAGCCGTGCGATCATCCCCCCCCCTTTCCTCAGTATTTGTCTTAGCATCGAACTGTTGTAATTGGGACCTCTGTATTATGACAGACGGTGCAGATGCATCCCATGGTCGACGTGGCTCAGGCTCGGGCCGCGGAGCGAGCTTCGGCTGGGAACCAAGACTAAGTGGCAACCCGAACCTGGTGTAATTGGATATTATGCCTCAGTTGGCTGTGCTTCGGCACAGCCTTGGTCAACGGCTCGGAAACAAGCAGGAATGCGCCTGGGATACTGAAGTAGAGAGATCAGGAAGCACTGCATGGGAGAGGCAAGAGAGCTCCTGTATGATTGTTCTGCGAAATATTCGTGCCGAAATTGAAAGGAAAAGAAAATAATTTCTTAAACTCTCGACTATAGATGTGCCAAATTCGAATAGCTTTTCTGGCATGGTTTCAGATGATGTGTAGTTGAAGTGTGATGTCTGGGGGGAACGGCTGGAGGTGAGATGGCCTGTAGGAGCTTTGTGTGTTGGTGGAATTACGAGGGATGGAGAGGATTTAAAATTGAGTGCAGTACGATCCTTTGGCTTTCGACCGTTGAGTATATTTTGAAGCGATGCTTGAAGACTATTGTGGTTCTGGAGAGGGGAACAATTTGGTTACGTGATTTTGATTTGCACAGGTTTATTGTTTGATGTTGTAAGAGGAGAGGAGGAGGGTGAGGGTGGGAGCAATGTCGACTACAGTTGCGCTTGGTATAGGCAGTATCACTACCTTCGTGCGCGTGTTTCCACATAATTTCTTCAGTTTCGGCCAAATGAAACATGGTTGCAGAGTTTCTTTAGAGGATGCTGCGACCGTCAGCAGGTGTGGAAGCTTCAGATTTCTCTTTACGCCTCTCTCTACAACATGTGGAATCCGGTCTCGTAACAGCAGGTTTGGATCATCTACTTGTTGCATTCCTCTTCCCTCTACCAATCTCTGAACAAAATCTTAATGATCAATTTTGTATTTATGGTGTCTTTCACGTCGAAGCGTTCCTCGTAGAAAATTGACTCCTTCATTGGCGTTATTATTTCTAAATTCTGTTCTTGGTGTTGAAGTGCTCCTCTCAAGGTTGCATTGCATTTTCCCGTTCTAATAGATATGAAGTAGAAAATTAAAAATTTCCAAAACCTCAGGAATTCTTCAGCCTGAAAATTTCTCCAACCGTAATTTAAAGCATTTACTGGTAGTAACCTGTCAATTGTATTATCCTGCAATATGTAAGATTCTGAACTTTTATGCTTAGAGAGGAGTTATTCACTGCAACTTAGTACTATTCACTACAATAAAAAAATCAAATGAGAATATTCTCACCACAATGTACATTACTAAAAATAGAACTGCGATTGACGTTGTTAATACATCCATATTCCGTGATTGTGAGTTAATGTAGGCTGTAGTTGCACGGCTCGATAAGTTAATGACCTGCATCATTGATAGCTACGACGTAGTCCTCTTAGCAATGTTAAGTGTTCTTAAGGGTGTTCCATTTAGTACGTAATTGAGAGCTACGTAACTTGATCACTACATCTATGGTTTCCGAATTGGTGTTATTAAGCTTTAGCTCCTACTGTAAACAGAAGAACAAACTATAATGCTATTTTATTGACATTCAAGTTTTGGTATTAATTCGCGGAGAAGTAAATACGACTTGTACCTTTATCCTTCATCCTAGCGGTTTCCTTCAGTTACAGCGTTCGCTGGACAGTGGGATGTGCTGCATTGTCACAAATGATGAGTAACGAGATATACGTGACTATTATATGGGACTGGCGAGTTCAAGGTGATTTATGCTTAAGTCGACAAAAAATTATCAAGATTGGTACTAATGGTATTGTTTCTGCCGCAGTTCGAAAAGAGATCAGGTTAAACGAATGAGGGGCCGCCAAAGCCGTTCAGAAGTGAACAATCGTATGGGAAGACATGGAAGAGATGGTCCAACTACAGTGCAGGATATTCAAAAATTAGCTACAGCAGCTGAAGAGAGTCTACCACTAGGCGATGGAGGTGGACTTTGCTTTCTAGAAAGTAGCGCTCCAAATGGTGCCTCGAATGTTGAGGACGAAGAAAAAGGAGGAAACGGGGCTTTCAGTGGAATTCCAGCTGAGGTAATGCGTGAGTCACATACAATTTATATGAGTCTGTGTTTCAATGAAAGAAAAATAATTAGATGAAGCAAATGCTGACAGTGCAGAACTTAAAGCTTTGAAAGATGAATGCCTGACTTCAAAAGAACAGACTGCGGCTCGCCGAGTTCAATTGGCAAGTCTTCCATTTGTACATGACATGGGAGGGATAGTCCAAGACATGGACTGGCAGCTACTATTATGATCTATGTATCCGCTTGTAGTGCTCCGGTTGAGAACATGTACCCACGAGGCTTTACTGTTTATATGTTTGCTTCTTTGACCTTCACGTGACTTCCTGGATTGTGTGGTCCCTGGCTCTGCTGGTAACGCCAACGAATTTTCTGAAACTCATAGGTGGTATTCGTATTTGGAGGATGTGCTATCAGTGAAGTGAGGTGCAGGAGTCTGAATCCAAGGCTCCTTTTGTTGAAGAAGGTGTTAGGCTCATTTGTCTACGATTTCTTGCAGTACCTAATATTCTCAATTTGTGATTTTGTGAAGGCTGATTCTCTAAAATCTTTGCTGGCTCAAGCCATCATCGAGAAAAATGCTATTTCAAAAGAGCGTAGTGAGAATATTCGTCTCCATGAGCGAGTAGAGCCTTTGAAAGAGCGACTACGGGAATCAGACACTAAAATTCTAGCACAATTACGAACTTACAGAGAGGATGTGGAAGCTTCTCAAGCCTCTATACATGAATTGACGTCTGAAAACGAGTCCAGTGTAGCTCAAATTCCAGTACAGGAAATGCCATGGGACTCTTGGAGAGGGCTTCTTTTACGCATCGATGCATTGAGCGACTTTCTTTCTCAGGTCGAGATGATCTTCATCGATGCGTTATGATGTCACTTTCATTTTCCTACCTTGGAATCTTACTTTTCCTTTTCTGTTTGTCCTACCAGTCAGTTACCTTTCGTTGCGATAGAAGTGTTGTATTTGCAATAGTTCAACTGACAAGGCTCTATCAAAACGAGCGTGGAGCCAAAAATAGTCTCCTATCGACGCTGTGAATACTATGTGGTGGTAATACAGTGGTTTACTTTCGATCAGATCCATTTGTGGAGAAACTGGAAGTCTTTTTAGATTACTTTTGGTCAAATAGTGAGATAGTTCAAGCAATTTCCCTGGCTTTTAGTATTTTAGTTGAATTTGAACATCCCATTGACCATTTTAGCCGATTGTGTTGTGCAGAAAGTTACAAAGGAGCTACAATCAGTGGCTTGGCGGAGAGAGAAACGTTTGCGTGATATTTATGTTAGCTTCGCAGATGAAGCAGACGAGGAGTTGGTGAGCGAATTTATGAATCTTCTGCAGCCCAAGAAAAGGTGGGTCCTGTCTTTCACATATACGATACTGTAATATTGATCCTGACGCACAACGTTTAATGCTATTCGCTGCCACCAATAAGAATATTGTTTTCCTGCTAAACCATCTTGGCAAGCTATTTCGATACCTCAGCAGCTGTTATTTGAATCAATTTATCTGAAGTAATGGTTCAAGAAGTCCAAGGGTGTTCGCTTACATCGGTCAAGATATTTTGACTCTCATCCCAAGTTATTTCAGCATTGTTGAAATTAATTTATTTTATCTAACTTTTCTCAGGCCGGGATTACATGTGATACACATTGCTGCTGAAATTGCGCCTGTTGCTAAGGTTTAATTCTTCTTCTTTATTGTTGCTCATTCTGTAAAAATATTAATCTTGTTGTTTCTAGGTGATATGTTGTTCAGCACGTCAAGTGACCAGTTCAGCCCTCTATACATCATCAGATGTAACTAATGACTTGTGGTACTATGAAGGTTGGAGGTTTGGGAGATGTATTAACAGGATTATGTCGATCTTTGCAAAAAAAAGGACATCTTGTGGAAGCCATACTTCCGAAATATGATTGCATGGACTACTCCCGTATCATCAATCTTAGGGTACATCACCTAACGTCTGGAATATTTGGAAGTTATTTGAAAGGTGAAAAGTTTGTTGTTTTATCTGCCAGCCCGGTCACCTAGGCTACATGTAGTCACTGCTAGCTGTATGGAAACTTTAATGTAAGATTTCTTCTACCTTGTCTAAATTAGTGGGGTCTACTCTCGGGCGTTTTCGGAATAACTCGGTCGCCATGGGTTTGATCTGAAGTGACGTATGATTTGACTACGTAAACAGGAGTTGGACCTGGAACTCCCTTCGTTTTTTGATGGCCACATGCACAAGAACAAGGTGTGGTCTGGCATCGTAGAAGGTATACAACTATATAATTATTATTCAATTTCATTTGGGGTATTCTAAGACTTTTCATTTAAAATTCATGAGCGCTTTAAAAAATCTCACAAGACCTTTTTGATTAGTTTCGGTACTTTTATCTTTACCTTCCAGCAGTTGCATTCATGTCGATATGGAGGTCCTTAGTGTGATAGACGGTGTAACCAATTTTGGATCTTTCTGCTCTTGTATGTCTGTAACTATTTAATATGTTGTTTCAGCTGTACGTGGTGTTAGGTCTCCCTAATATGTTGCGGAGGCCTTCTTTTATGCAGGTATTCCTGTATATTTCATCGAGCCACTGCATCCAGCGAAGTTTTTCAGGAGAGGGGAATATTATGCTGAACCTGATGATTTCAGGCGGTTCACGTACTTCAGCCGAGCTGCAATGGAGTTTATTTTGCAATCTGGAAAGCGACCAGATATAATCCACAGCCATGACTGGCAAACCTCTGTGGTGGTAATGCAATCACTCAAATTATTATTATTTTTTTTCATGGCCGTTCTTCATAATTAACAAGTTATTTTGGGGCTGGGAAAACGAATATACTGAATCAAATCGTGGTTCCTGCTTATTGTGATATTACCTGTGTTCATGGTGTACCGCTGTTTGTGCAGGCACCCTTGTATTGGAATGTCTATGTACCACTAGGGTTGGACTCTGCTAGGCTGGCCTTCACTTGCCACAACTTTCTATATCAAGGAATAGAGAACTCAGAAGCCATTGCTGCGTGTGGTCTCACTGTTCAAGATCTGATGAGCCCGGACCAAATGCAAGATAACTTTTTTCATAACAAAATCAATCTCCTTAAGGTCCTTTGTTACACTTTTCCCAATTCTAATTTTTTGATTCAATATTCAATGCACAACTAGACCTTTTTCTTCTTCATGTTGATTCAGCAACTCACTGTCATTGGTTGAATAATTGGATTGATATTACGAGATCAGTTCATAAATTACATCTTTGCACCATTGCCACAATTTACTGTCAAATTAAGAACTTACATAAGTGATACAACATCGGATTTAACATTGGTTAGTAACTACGCAGGGAGCGATTGTCTTCTCGAACGTTGTGACTACTGTTTCCCCTACTTATGCTCAGGAGGTGCTAAGTCCAGAGGTACGTGTAGGAGGTCACTACATTTCGATCCTCTTACGGTTACACTCACGACACGCGAATAAAATGGTAGTAAACCGCTAGTATATTCTGGTTGTTACGCAAACACCTGTCAATCAACACAGCACCGATTTCTTCTGTAGATATCTTTCCACGAGGAGTGTCCTGAACATCACAAAGAGGTCACAGGTTGTGAGAGGTTTCTATGAACGTCTGGAATCAAGCCTTGTCATAATTATCAACGTGGTGATGCTTTTACAGGGTGGAAAAGGCTTGCACGGAACATTGGGTGCCCATTCGAAGAAGTTTTTTGGAATTCTGAACGGCATCGATGTGGAAGTATGGAACCCAGCCACAGACACTCTAATTGACTACCAGTTTACTGCAGATAATATTGATGGAAAGTTCGTTAACAAGCAAAAGCTGCGGGAGCGTTTGGGTTTAGGAAATCAAGGAGGTGATGAAAGAAGGCCATTGGTGCGTTTCCTTGTCTTTCATTACCATTCTCTGTACAAATTTGTCACTGTTGCAGCTCCTTGAATTCAAACAATTTATTTCTACGCCTGACCTTGGCTTGTACTTTCTTAATGTTGACGAGATAATAGTTTATCTACAATTCATATCTACTGTAATTCGTTCATTCACTCATGAGATTACATGGCATGATATGATGATAATGGTGTCACTTTGGCTTTATTCATCGATCTAACTATAATTTCATTGCTAATAATTATGGGACGAGCGTATGACTTCAAGTTTACGTATGTTGATATCAGGTGGGATGCGTGACGAGACTAGCCCCGCAGAAAGGTGTGCATCTCATAAAACACGCCATCCATCGCACTTTGGAGAAAGGTGGTCAATTTATCCTCTTAGGATCAAGTAATCTTCCTGAGGTTCAGGTATACTTGTTGATACATCATTCTTTTACAAATTTTGGATTTTCCTCAATGCAGCAGCATTCCTTGTTTGATTGTTCCCCTGATCTTATTTGGATTAAGGTCTCCTTCTTTTTGGATTGTTGTGGCAGTCTTCACATTCATAGTATTTCATGCATAAATTACATATAGACCATAATGTTTCCCACTCCCTTACTTCTGTATGTGTCCTCCTACAGCATGAATTTGAGGTTATTGCTCGTCAATTCGAAAACCATCCCCAGATTCGTCTAGTTCTAAAGTACGACGAAACACTATCACATGCCATCTACTCGGCAGCGGATGTCTTTGTGATTCCATCTATATTCGAACCCTGCGGTCTCACACAGGTGGATGCTTTTATGCCGTGTTTATTTTCTTTGAAAATTCATTGAGGGTGTGGTTTTAACTATTTCTTGTGAAATTTCTAATCTTTCCATGTCGCCTTATGCCCTTAAGCTTTTTGTATATAGACCAAGCTTGTTCCATGCTGAATTAAACGAAACACGAGAGTCTGAGTCCCAAACCACTAACTCCACAGGCTACTAGAATTTGGTAAGTTTGTTTATACTATCAGAAATTTCTCCTTGAAATCTTTGCTGCTTGTTCTTTTACTTGCAGATGATATCTATGCGCTACGGAACAATACCAGTAGTAAGAAGGACTGGTGGCCTTGCGGATAGGTTTGTAATAGTTTCATTCTTTACTCTCCTCACTCTTCACCGTCTGATGAAATAGTACTTGGTGATTGCAATATCGACTTGCCTGTTGAATCGCAGCTTCAACTTCGACAAAAAATCTGAAATTTGAGAGCTGTTTTAAAAGGACTTGGTCTGTATTGGATTGCGACTGTTGCTCTCCTTTTGTATGGTTATTCTTGTAATCCACAAAGAGGATATCAATTCATAATCATGGTTTCTTTAACTCATTTCTAGCCTATATGCAACATCTGATGTCGAAAAAATTTATAATTGAGCCTGAAAGTTGAACGTGCATGTTCCATCTGCAGTGTATTCGACGTAGACGATGAAAGAATTCCCCAGGAGAAGAAGAATGGGTTTGTATTTGACGATGCAAATGAAGGGGTGAGTGCTTCGAGACATTTTGAATATCTCGCAATAGTTCATCTTAGAGTATTTGCATTTTTTAACTTAGAAGCTGTACAGGTATTTTGCATTGTTTGTTAATTTCATCATTTTCAATATGTTAAATTTAAGTTGGACCGCAAATTGCAAGTTCCCTGGGGTCTGCACTAGGCTGTAAGTGGTCTTCTTTTATTCTGCAAGATTGAACCAGTTGGAAAATATGGGTATAATATTCCTTATAAGGACTAATGGATATGTCTTTCAGTGTCACGCAAAGTCCTTTTCCAGTGAGTCCGTAGTTGCTTCCCTGCTTGGAGGATATGTTCAGATTATTTTTGATGCGCTTTTTGATGGTTGATCAATGAATGTGAGATGGTATTTGTGTGTTGGCTGGTGCAGAGTTTCAACTCGGGACTGGATCGAGCTCTGAATTATTACATTCAAAGACCCGAATGGTGGCAAGACTTGGTTAGAAAGGCCATGCTGGTAGACTTCAGTTGGGATTCTTCTGCTGATCGATATGTAGATTTATATAGACTTGTACTTAAATGACGTAAATTTTGAGCCACTCAAATGAGTGAGAAGGAACGATGACAATATCGCTTCAAAAAACCAATTAAATTGATACATGCATACATATTGTTAGTGCATAAAATTATTAGGAATTACATGTTTGTAGATTTAAATATTATATATTTGAATAAAATATATATTTTAAATTATTAAATTCTTTTTACAAAAATCAATGCAATCTCAATTAATGTTTAAGAAGACTACACCTCAATAGATTATTTTATATTAATAGATTAATGTTTAAGAAGACTATACCTCAATAGATTATTTTATATTAATAGATTAATATTTAAGAAGATTGTACCTCAATAGATTATTTTATATTAATAGATTAATGTTTAAGAAGACTATACCTCAATAGATTATTTTATATTAATAGATTAATATTTAAGAAGACTCCAAATTATTTTATAAACTAACATGTCACATTGATTTTTATATTAAATAAACATGAATATTTTAATCCAACATATTGATATTACTAAGTCTTTATTTATGTGTGTACTTATTTAGGAATAAATTTATTACCTTTTATTTTGATGCATAAATACTTGATTATGTTTAAAACTAATAGTTGGACTTATTTCTAATACCACTAAAGAATAGATGATGATATCATGTACATATTATTTTTAATTTCATGAAAATCTTAAATTTATTTAAGAATGGTAAAGAACTTGCATGATCTAATACCATTAAATAAATTATTTTTAGAAATCTAATTCTTAAAAATATTTTTTTGTAAAATCAATACCATATAGTCAATTACACTATATAGTCAATAATTTCTTTAGTCTTGAGAAGTAAACTATAACAAGGGCTAATTGAATGTTTAATATATACATTAAATATTTTTACCTACAAATTTATATAGATAAATTTTTTTTATCACAATTATACATTAATTATCAATAATATCTAATGGCTTTACATATGTTTTAGATTTTGGTATATTTTAAATCTTTATATGATCCTTACTACAAAATTAAAATTTATTTAATATATGTACTTATATTTATAATATTTTTATTATAAAATAAAACAAAGATATTATAAAAATAAATTAAAAATATTTAAATATTCACATAAAAATAATCAAAATTAATAATAAGTATTATATTCATTCTATAGTATGTAAAGTATTTTTTTAATTATTTAAATTTTATCATGTATAATACAGTAAATACTAGGTTAAAATTTGATAATTTATATAATTTAAAAGAATTTAATTTACACATAAAAAACTATAAGGAACAAAAATCTTAAAGATAGTTTTTATTTAATATTAGAATATATATAAATTTCTATAATTCAATTTTTAAATAAAATAGATTTTAAAATGATCAAATTCTTATAAATATTTTAATTTAATTAAAAATAATATTAAAAAATCATAAAAAGTTATGCATAATAATGCTTTAAAGTAATATATATATATATATAACCTTAAATATCCAATAGTTGTAAATACTTATATAATAAAACATAATATATAATATTATTATTAAGAACATATCATCATATTTTAGTAAAAAAATTAATATCCAAATTCAAGGATAATTATAGAATAATAAAATATATTAAATACATCATAGTAAATCAAAAGATCAAAATTATTATTTTTAGATATAAAAGCATAAAGGTTTAAAAGTCACAAAATATATTGGAATAATTAATGAAACTAGAGATTGATTCATTTTTATACTTTATAATTATAATTAACAAAATTTTCATATAAAATTTTTATACAAAGACTTATTAATTTTAATATGGTTACATTTTTTTATTGATATTGTTGTTGTTTCTAAAATTAGTATATAGAATTATTTTAGATCATGATATTGTCTTCAATTTAATCTAAATTAAAGTTGAAATTAGAATGAAAATACTTTTTATAATTACTTGTTATCACTCTGTAATTAAGGTTCACTATAAAAGTGTAGATATGATATTCTTGAGTTTGGAACTTTATTTTTAAAATACTTACAAGCTCTTCTTATATAATCAATTTTTATTTGGAAACAAGATTTTTTGTGACAAAAAACGTGGTTCTAAAAGGTTCCAAAAGATTTTTAAAATATTCTTAGAAGATTTCTAAAATATTTTAAAAGATTCCAAAAGGTTCTTAGAATATTTTATTAGATTCTATAAAGTTTTAGAAGGATTAAAGAAGTTATCTAAGAAGCTTCTGTAGGTTGCTTCATCTTCAAATAATATGGGAACTTCTTGAGAAGCTTCTTAAGATTGTTTCATCTTCAAGAAATATGGAAACTTCTCAAAAAACTTCCTAAAATTGCTTCAACTTCAAGTAACTTAGGAACTTCTCAAAAAGCTTCCTAATACCTAATATATATTAGAGTTGAAGTTGAGAGGATCCTTAGTCTCCTCAATACATTTGTTAAAGCTTTAATTCACCTCTCTTAATATTGATCTTATATTCATCTAATTTAATTAAGTTCTTATTATCTTTCTTATTGAAATTCTTTCATTCAACTTCTAGTTTGGTCTCTCATATTGTAACAAGATATAGATAAGATATTTGTATTCTTGACATATAGGGATAGATAGTTAAAACTATGTTTAAGAAGTTATGGAAGTTTCTAAAATTTGGACTAAATTAGTGGACTATATAGGACATATCATTGAATATTCTAGAGAGAGCTTAGGATAGTTATTTAGATAGGGCCTACTATTTAATCTTCTAAAAATAACTTAAGATAATTATTTAGGTAGGATCTACCATAGACTCTTCTAGAAAGAGTTTAAGATAGTTATCTAAGTGGGGTCTATCATCTAGGAACATTCTAGAAATTCTACAATGGTAAAATAAAGTATAAATAGGATTGACCAAGGCTTTTTGGGCATTTGATTAAGTATGGCTTCAAACCTTTTCTCTCAGTAAAATTTGGTTTTGCATCTTTTTGTTTAGTTCTATTCTATTATATTTTTATTTATTCAGTTTTATCTTTTGTATCGTATTTTATTTAGTTTTGTCTAGTTTTATTTTAATTCATTTTTTCCTTCTTTGTGATGAGATTGTATATTGTAGATTAAAAGGATCTTAGACTTTTGAAATAGACCAATCCTATTTCATTGATATTAGAGTGACTATTTGACTATTCTTTGGTAGTGTATCAATAGTCATTATTTAGTTCAAGGTCAATTATTGTGGTTACACTATGTACTATATTGAGGCTACTATGAGCTACTCTTAAAAAATCAATCAAAAGATGAGAAGGCATTAAAATAGTAGAGTCCAGTGGAGATTTATAACATGGGAGATATGGCAGAGCAATCCTAGATGGAAGGTTAAATGCAACACTTCTTAGGCCAGATAGCTACTTTGTAAGGGTAAATAGAAGCCTCTAGGACAAGAGAGTTGACATTTGCTCAATTAAAATTGTGTAAACTTAGTACATACTTTGGAACTTCAAGGCAAGAAGATGTATGTTAATGGCTCTTCAACATGCAATAATACCTCAAACTATCTAGGGCAAATACCACTAAAAGAATTATGTTTGTAGCTAGCTATTTGAAAGATGCAATAGCCATTTGGTAGCAACATTGAATTCAAAGCTATGGAGCTTAAGGTGGATTTTGTGATTAAGAGGAGTTTGAAACCGAGTTTAGAAATCAATTTTGGCCTATCAATGTGGAAAAGATAGTAAGTGATCAGTTAGCAAATCTTATAAAATCTAAATTGATACAAGATTATATCTCCCAATTCAAGTTCTTATATTTCCAAATTGATAATGTTTTAGAAGTAAAGTTGATGGATCGATTTCTACAAGATTTGAAACTTGAGGTCCAACAAGAGGTAGAACTAAAGAATATACAAACATTTAAAAAGACAATTACGATTGTAGAGAGAGTCGATGCTATGGATTTCAAAAATCATGGAGCACGACCTACAATATAAAGTCCTATGCCGCTATTTAATACTAGTATTGCACAACAATTAATACCAATAGAGATTGATATTCTACAAGAATCATTGATACTACAAAGATGACAAATATTGGTATAAAAGAGATTGTCTTTCTATTGTTGAGAGCTAGACCATCAAATCGGAGGTTGCTCAAAATGTCAAAATTTAAGCATCAACAAAATAAGATAGGTTCTCAGTCTTAAGACTCATTAAGTCAATAATGAGATAGAGTAGAGAAAGAAGACTCTGTGTAAAGGTGCCAAGGGCTAGTATTAGAAATAGCTACTGCCTCTTTGAGACAAATAGAATAGTGTAAGCCTAAATTCCACCACTCAATGAAATAGATGCCACTCAATAAGTTTAAGAGGTAGAATGGAAGAACCTTCAATTGTGTAATTGCTAAGTTGATTTAAAACTTAATGTTAGTAATTTAATTAACTTTAAGTCTTTCAAGCAATACTTATCAATAATAAAAATAAAAATAAAAATAAAAAATAATAAATTTACTATGGTTTTCAAGGCTATTTGCATGATCTCTACTTAAATCTCAATGGTTTATTCAAGGTCATTTAAATAATCCTTAATTACTAATTTTTATGTGATTATAAAAATATAATTAATTAAAATAAATAAAAAATTTATTAATTAAAATTTATAAATTATTATTCTTTAAATAAATAATGGTAAAAATAATTGATCAAATTATTACCATTAATCCATAATAAAAGTAAAAAATATTAAAAATTAAGTTAAAAATAAAAGTTAAAAGTTAAAGTTAAAAAATCAAAGTCAAAAGTCAAAGAAAAAAGATTAAAGTTTAAAATTTTAAAATTAAAATCTAAAAGTTGAAATATGAAAGTTAAAAATTACTGTAAAAATAAAAGTCAAAGCAAGACTAAAGAGAGATAAAAGCGAAGGTACCTTGATAATGCCCAAAATTTGAGGGCAGCAAACCCTTTCTACTCCAAAATTTTCCAAAAATTGTGAATAACTTCAAATTTAATTATTTTTAGTTTTTTTCAAATTTAACTTAAAGGCGCTCTTGCTCCAATAAATCTAAATTCAATCTAGTATTAAGCCACGAGAAATGCTCTTTCGAAGTTGAGTTACTAAAACTGCCATAGCAGGCAAC